CCGGGTTGACAACGCAATTTGAGGTTGGAATTTCAAAAAAATGATTTCTTATCGGTTATCTATGTCATTATAGGGATTCACTGTCAAAATTTCAGTGGTTTGGTCTGGTCTTTGATGAATCTGTAAGGACATGTTACTATGCATACTATACAGGGTGTTTCACATTCGTTGTCCATTAGAAGATTCTGGGGAACGGAAAAAGTAATCGATTTGAAATTTTAAAAGCGTTTATATACCATTTAAATCTTTTTTTCTTTAAAATTTGAGAAATGTCAATCAAAAATATTATTATTAGGTTTGCGAATATGGGGGTGGAATTTTTGAAATCTTAAAACATTTTTTAACAAATTACCTAAGAAAACCCAGGGCAAATTAGGCTTACTTAAAATGTTTTTATTCTAAATGTAACACCTGGTATGTTTTTACAAATCAAATAGTAAATTAAAAACCTTTCGATTGATGTAACTATACCCTATACTTAAAGTTAATAATTTAAGAGATATTTAACAATTTCTAAAAATTTTAATATTATTTTGTATCAAGAAACCTGTGACGGGTGAGTTGACAGTATCTATGGTTACCACGTAATCTAGATCTAGAACAATGACAGCTGTCATTGTTCAAAATTTAATGGCGTCAATTTTTAAGGTTGTTATAAACAATTTTTTGACCAATTAAGTTTTTTGTAAACAAAATTACTGATAAAAAATAGCAGTCAGTGACTTATAAAAAAATGAAGAAGCCAAACATTTTTAAAATTTAAAAGTAATACAAACAAGTATTTGCTAATTTTGATGAAAAATCAACAAAGCTTCAAAGGAGAACAGAGAACACTAGTTATAGCTTGAGCAGGTCCACTTTATTAGTTCAAATTTTCTCCTTAAATTTAGTGTTGTTTTAACTCTAGAAATTGTACTCTTGTAGTGTAACATATTTAACACAGTTCGTGCGACTTCATACACTATTTTATTGAAAATTACTACACTAACCGTGTTCGGTAAAAGTGTTTACTTTGACACTAATTTATTTGCATTTATTTAATTTAAATGCTATTCCTAATAGTTCTGGAAATTTAATCTAGTGTTTATCCTAACACTAATAGATTTAAAAATATTGTGTAAGATTGTTGTCTGTAGTGCGCCCTTTACATATATAAAATTTATTTAATGTCGATAAAAATGGTATAATATATAATACTTATAATATTAGTATATTATAGACCAAGCGGAGAAAGCACATATTATCGCTGAGCATATGTACATTATAATTTTTTATATACTCATATATTTTTAATCAACTAATATTACCTATTATGTGAAATACTTTTGGGTAGCGCTGATGGGGTGTTTAAATAATGTTTATATAAAACAAATTCAACTTATATTTATATAAAAATACAGTCTATTGTATGTTTTACGCTACAAAAAATTAAACTACAATCTTTGGCAATTACAAAATACAGTCCATTGTAAGTTTTACGCTACAAAATATAAAAATAATCTTAGGCAATTACTTTAAATATAAATACGTTCAAAACACCAAATAATATTTTGTCACAAAGTACCAATTGACACTGTTAGATTGGTGTAAATTGTATGGCTCTTTGTAAAGCAAGCTTAAAATCTTATAAAGGAAACCAATTCTTACCCATTTTGTGACTTAAATTTCTATCGAATCGGGAAATTCTTCTATACAGGGTGTTTCATAATATATGCGCAGGACTTCAGGATGTGATAGCTCATCCAAAAAGATGAAAAAAGTCGCTATTAACTTACGCTCTAAAATGCACAATTTTTGAGATACAGGGTGTTGAAATTTTAGAAAAAAAATCGTTTTTTTCGAATATCTCCGGAACCGTTTATCGTACAAAAAACAGCTTTTGTAAGCATTTTCTACTCAAAATAAGCTATGTTTTGTGCCAGAAAAAATTTTTTTTTCCTCATAATTGGTGAAGATTTTGAAGGGTTAGCGGGTGTTTTTCCCCTTAACTTCTACGCCCCTGAAAAAAGTACGGTTTTGAGAAGCCCATGTTTTCTACACAAAAAAGGTACTCTTGGTCATAAGCTCTAAACTTGACCGTTTTCGAGAAAAATCAACTTTTATGTTTAAAAATTTTTTTTTTTACTAATTAAACAAAATTTATTTTAACATTAGAACAAGTAACAAAACCAAACCATAATTGCAAAATAAAAAATGATTCAAAAGTTGTCTTTGCTAAATTCTCCAAACCGTAAAGGTAACGCATTTCGCACATTTCAGCATTTGTGTAAAAAATCATTTTTTATTTTTTTTTTAATTTTGCAATTATCGTTTGGTTTTGTTACTTTTTCTAACGTTAAAATAAATTTTGTTTAATTAGTAATAAAATTTTTTTTTCAAAAAATTGACCATGTTTTTAAATATAAAAGTTGATTTTTCTCGAAAACGGTCAACTTTAGAGCTTATGACCAGGAGTACCTTTTTTGTGTAGAAAACATTGGCTGTTCGAATGGGCCTCTCGAAACCGTACTTTTTTCAGGGGCGTAGAAGTTGAGGAGAAAAACACCCGCTACCCCTTCAAAATCTCCACCAATTATGAGTAAAAAAATTTTTTTTCTGGCACAAAACATAGCTTATTATGAGTAGAAAATGCTTACAAAAGCTGTTTTTTGTACAATAAACGGTTCCAGAGATAATCGAAAAAAACGATTTTTTTTCTAAAATTTCAACACCCTGTATCTCGAAAATTATGCATTTTAGAGGGTAAGTTAATAGCGACTTTTTTCATCTTTTTGGTTGAGCTATCACATCCTGAAGTCCTGCGCATATATTATGAAACACCCTGTATAATTATATACCAAATTTTTGCAGTGATAATCTCAAAATAAAACTTCAACTAAAGGTCCACTTTGCAATTTAGTGCTAAAGTTGTCATCATAAAATGCTGGTATCGCACTGCTAAGGATTTGGCTAAATTTTTAAAGTTTTTAAACTTGGCAACATGAACATGTTTTACTCTTAGGAAAATCATCTAAAAAGCTATTGTAAGAACTGAAATTTTCGACCTTAACACAAATTCTGAGAATACAATGAACGAAACTAATTTGCGTTTTAGTCAACTGAACACCCCCTGATTGCATATTTACACTAATGTGCACTACCAGAGCTTGGCTAGTGTTAAATGTATTAGATTGATGTGGAACACTATTATCATTTCATCGCACTTGAACGAAAAAATATATTTTAGGATTAAAAATAGTGTGATTTTCGTAAGTAATATCATAAGGGCATTTAATTTTTCCGAAAAAAAAACGAAAAAACACGTTGCTAAGTAATATTTTAACAGCATGAGTGCTGGTGGCAACAAAAATCCGAGTCGAAGAGGAGGATTTTTGCACCTGCACGAATGCATTTTGTTAAAAAATATTACTTAGCATTGTGTAACAGTTAACAATTAAAATATAAATTGCAATTTTTGGTGACAACAGCTGTCAAGTTTTGCCGCGGGTAAACTCGAAAAAACTGCTGACAGGTGCTGTCACACAGTTTTTTCACCTAGAAACCATTTGTAATTCAAAATTGCGCGTTTGTGATTGGTGGAAATTAAGACGAGGGAAATAGTCTACACAAACTTTTTCACTCTACACTAAAATATTTTATTACTGTGTAGGGTGTCAACTAGATGAAGCACTAGGTCATTGGAGACAATAAAATATAAAATTTATTATTATAAAATTGTTAGTTACCCATTATTCTTGTTATTAAAATATTTTATAAAATAAATTTTATATTTTATTGTCTCCAATGACCTAGTGCTTTATCTAGTTGACATCCTACAGCTTAGTTGAGTTATTTTCAAAATTAGCAAATACTGTTTGTATAACTTTTAAATTTTTAAAATGTTTGTCTTGTCAAGGTTTTTTATAAGTTACTGACTGATATTTTTATCAGTAATATTGTTTACAAAACAATCAATTAGTCAACAAATTATTAACTTTAGGTATTATAATAGGGAACAGTAACATCAATCGAAAGATTTTTAATTTACTATTTGATTATGTAAAACATACCGGGTGTTACATTTAAAATAAATATGTTATTAACTTTTCAAGTAAGCCCTATTTGCCCTGGGTTTTATCAGGTAATTGGTTGAAAAACGTTAAAGAATTAACAAGGAATCTTTTACACAATGTTTTAATATTCGAAAAATTCCACCTCCATATTAGAAAACCTAAAAACATTTTTATTTTTTTTCCCGGTTAAACAGGAAGTGGATTTTGTTTAAGATATTTTAGAAAAATAGACTTAAATGAATTTAAATTTTCAAATATCTTTTTTCGTTACCCAGAAATATCTAATGGACCACGAATGTGAAACACCCTGTATGTGCTAGTTTTTCTCTTATTTGCCAAGTTAGATATAGATGGATAAAAAGGTTGTTTAAGCCTCTGAAATGTATGCAAAAGATAATTTTCATCCAAGTACATATTGATTTTTAAATCAATACCATAAAAACGAGCCAGTTTTGTTAAATAAAGTCGTTTAGTTAAAATTCCATCACATTCTAGATATTAAATACTGAAATTATTCCCTAAAGGCTGTGCTCTACTTTTATAATTAAAATACTGTCAGTCGGAAATTATAGTCTGCTGTTTTGTGTTTCCAAAAATCTCGACTAAAATAAAAAAATTACGTGTAAATAATAAAAACACCCTGTATAAACTGTGCATAATTTTTTGTCAATATTTCTGTTTTGTTTCAGATCAACAACAACAACACTAAAAACCTAAATCCTCCATATAAAAAACTTCGTTACTTTCTTTAGGTCTGTCGAATTGTATTCTTACTATTTATTTATCCGAAGCTAAAAATAACATTGTTTTGTCAATATTTCTCCGTGCAAATGTAAACAAAACATTTACCATTAATAGTAATAAATAAATCGGGACCAAATTTACCGTTAAATAGAGTTAATGTGTGGACGAAACAGTTGAGGAGTCCTTGGGGAAAAACAAAGGATCTCACCCAAAGGATTTCAAAAAGAAATGTGAGAAGGATACATTTTTAGAAGGACAACAAAAACATAACAAGGTAAAGTTTTTTAAATAATTATAACAATTTGTTGCGTTTTTGTATAAATGTCAAAGTAGACTAGTACGAGGCCTGTTTTATTTTGTAACATAAAAATGAATTGGTTTTAAACTAAAAAATAGTTTTTGTTTTGATGTTTAAGTCATTAATTTTCATGTTTGCGCTTTTGTTTAATGTTTTCTTTCCTTGTACTTTTTTTTAGTTTTCTCGATATTCCACAGAAGTTTTTAAAACCGTAAACTGGAAAAATTGAGCTGACGGTTTTTCCGAATTTGTGAAATTCACGGAAAAATTGACTTTTGCATTTTTTTATTTTATTCCAAGGATAATACAAAAAAATGCAAAAGTCAATTTTTATGAAAATGTCATAATTATACTGATACTATCCGTACACTGATATCTAGAAAATAGTGAATTTCCGACGGTGAATATAGTTATAATATTATGATTATAATAATTATTCCTTTTATTTAAATTAAGTAAGAATATTCTACCTGGTCGCAAAAAAACATATTCGGTCCTGTATTACTATAACTTTCGTTTTATTTGACACTTCGATTTATAAAATTATAATTTTGTAATGGGGTATTTTCAATGGACTCCTTTTTTGCAAAAAAGACAGTATATTTAATGTTTACGTTTATTTTCTTAAACCAATTTAATTTAATTCAATTGTAAGTTTTTTTTTCTGTGAGGATATTTTATTTAAATTAAAATAATATTTTTGCTACTTTTTTCTAATGTGTATAATTTCAAAAAAAATCAATTTTTTCCAAAAAATTCTAGAAAAATATTAATTTTTATAAGGATATTCAGAACAAAGAACACAAGTATGTCATTTCCTCCCAATATTATTACATTTTTCTGTGACGTTTAGATATAAAAATATAAACAATTGCTTTTGTTCTACAAAGAAAATTTATCGTTTGACTTTCTCTAATAACTTTTCAAGAGAAACTTTGTCGTCAACGTTATTTATTTTCGTAAGAGCGTCTTTCGCAAAAACAAACAAATCTTTGAAATCACTTCTATACGCTAAAGAAGCATCGCTAGTAGCGCCACTTCGTGCCCGTTATTATCGTAACCAAACTACAACTTTTAATAATCAGCTCTCAAATCAGGCCGAAAAATATTTAAAATATCGTGAGAAAAAAACGTGGAACGATTTGTTGTGTGGTTTTACAGGTTTCCCAATTAACAGTGGAGTGACCGGTGGCTGGTGGATTTTGGGTAAAGCGATATCTCAATTATTAGATATGGGACCCAAACCAAATTTATATGAGTTTATAATGATATTAAATAAACAAGGTCTGCGCAAGCAGAATTTAAATTAAAGTTTGCGAAAAAAAGATTACTTTTTGCTCGGCCGTACCGGCCCCATGGCGCACCCAATAAATATAATATAAATTTAATTGCTGCAATTTGTTATTTACCATAGTTTATCGACAAATTTCAAATTTTATTTAAGAAATCCAAATCATACAGATTTTATATCATTTTAAATTTTTATTAATTCTTTGAAAAGAAATATTAAAAATTTAAAATGGTATAAAATCGGAATAATTTGGAATAAAGAAATGAATTGCATACAGTCCCTGTTAATATAAATTGTACCTATTAGATACAATAAGGGGACATCCATTAATTACGTGAGATAAAAATAGGGTGGAGGGGCCTAGCAAAATCTCACCAAATCTCATGTTTAGGGAGGGGGGTCATTTAAAATCTTACGTCAACTTTTGGATTCAAAGAATAGAAGTATTATAATTCAATTTTGTAAAAAAAAGTAATCAATTTTTTTTGGGTTTATAATGTTGTCCGCAATGAAAGTTTAATGGCTAGAATCTCACGTGAGGGATAGGGATACCACATCTCACCAAATCTCACAAGGGGGAGGGAGGGGGTCCAAATTATCAAAAAAATGCCTCACGTAATTAATGGATGTCCCCTAAATACACATTTTAGTAATGATTTATGTAAACATTTAAATTCAGTAAAAATCATAAAACAAATAAGTCGTCTAAATTCAAACAGCGTTATGCATTATTAAAAGCTGATTGAGATAGTCTTTACTCAAAGGTAAAAACCAATTATATTATGTATATGTTGCTTTGTATTTAGTATGGAGGTTATGTTTGTACAACTATTACTTTTTGTCCAAACGTCCAAATGTCCAAACTTAAATATAAATTATATTAGGTATAAAGTTATAATTAGTAAATTCTGCATCAACAAATATACTTACCGAATTGAAGCCATTGGCAAAACATGAAAATGCAACGATTTAGTTCTTTACTTTCATTTACATTTAAAAACTCAATAATTCACTATGATCACTTTAATAAAAAAAACACACACTAACGTAACTATATAAGCATATAAGCGTTTATCTGTATGTAAATTTGTCGAGTAAGACTTCTGCCTTCCCCTCTTTTTTGAAAAAACTACTTATTTATTTAAAATGATGTGCAGTTCGTATGCTTTACATGTATTGTTGTCAAACCTTGTAGTTCAATAATGCTATCGAGCGCCTCCAGATGGCGCCCTTCACGCTGCCAAATAATCATAACTTTTTTTTTTTAAATTAACTTTGACATAAAAACATAATTTTCCAAAGGATTAAGAAATAAAATGTTTTCTCTTTTTACCTAAAATAATCCTTAAGGAAATTTATGTTCTTTACACCTCAGTGGTTTTATCCTTAACGCATTGAAGAAGGGTCCGTGAAAAAATTTATACTTTTTAAGATCCCTAAAATGTAACAAGATTTTCACCTTAAAAGTTTCTTACTTTCTACAAACATTCTTATACAGTTGTTTATTAGGTATTTTTCATTGATTTTATTCTTAACAAGTAGGTATTTGCTTTATATAAATATTGATGTTATGGAAAATCATAAAATATAATATTTTGCTTTTAATATTAATTAAATTGCACTAAAATAAATATGTAGATATATCTAATATACATCCAACATTAGAGCAAAGTGTGCAAAAAAATCTACCGTTTTTGACATAATGAAATATTTTACCCCTCCTGATTTATGTCATCATGTAAGGCATTTAGTTATTGTAATATTATACCAGCATTAATCATTTGGTTTAAGACGAACTTCCTTGCGTTAAAAGTACTTAAAGTAGGTCCTTTGTCACCTGTCTTCATTAATCTTTATTAGTCTGACACCCTAGATATTTATAGCTGTAACAAATCAATTGGTTTCTAGACTATTATGTATATGAAACAGATTTCAAAAGTGAAATGCATGTGTTACTTTTTTTATTGGAACATCAGTTTGTAGAAAAGACATACAGGGTGAGTTTCTAAATTTCTAAAAGAACTATATTTGGATAGTGACAAAGACGTAAGTCTTTTAATGAAAATGTAAAAGAAAAGTTTTCAAATGTTGTTTCCAAAGATGTGTCCAATAAAACCTTCCCTATTATTTCCATAAAATACGGACATAAATCGAATATCCTAAAAACACGCTTGAAAAACATTATGCTTTCTTTGCATTGAGGCGACCGAGACAAACAGGCGTAAAAAACTATACAGTAGGCTAATGTAGCATGGGCAAATACAAAAGAAGACCGAAAGCCTTTGACACCACGCTTGCTACGTTGTATGGTTAAGCATTGGGTCGCTTTGTGTTTAGAAGGGAAAATAGAAACATAAATGTGGATATTTATGCGAAAGAAGAATAATAAAATGAATCTGGGTCATGCAAAATGAGTCATTTACTTGAACATTAAGAATGACGATTTTGGTCTCTAAATAAATTATTTATTCTGTAGGAACGAATTAAAATTGGGAGGACGATGTCATCTCCCACCCTAAATGTTTGGCGTACTTTATAGACGACCTCTAATGATGATATTAATAATAATGCAAAAAACATATTTATTGATTTTTCTTAGCTCTAATAGCGGTATTTTTGCCAACAAACATACTAATAATATGCTTGATAATAAAATATAAAACAACAAACAAAACTATAGTAACTAATGTTAAAATATTCGCAATATCCAACATACTTATTTGGTACCATTTTAGCTTCAATGATGGCGATTTCAAATGATGGGCACCTTTATGACGTATAACGTATTCAATCCAATATACAGCTGTATCCATTGGAGTAAAAGGTTGATCGTGAAGAATTCTTTGTCTTGATTTAACATTTGTTGTGTATCTAAAACAATATTACTCAACATACATAAAACCTTAGAATAATATTTAATAAAATTTACTCTGGGTTATTTAGGAGTTCATTCACAGCAGTAAAAAATGTTTCTTCGTTTAGTTCTTTGAAAGGTAGGTTAATGGCAAAACCGTTATTTTCAGCAGATCTTATGTTACACTCTTGATCCCAAAACACTGGTATTCCTAGAATAGGTACCCCATAGTGTACTGACTCTATAACACTAAGAAGACCTCCATGGGAGATGAAAAGTTTGGTGTTTGGATGTGCTTGAAAATATTATTAGAAGTCATAAAATAAGTAAATTGTTTAAATACCTAGAACACTGTTTTGTGGTAACCAGTTCATAATCTTGACATTTTCAGGTTTCTTTGGTATGTCCTCCTCAAACTTCCACAACACTTTCTGTTTGATTATGGAAAACGTTTTTAATATGGCATTTTTCATGTGGTCTGGTAAATCAGAGCTCTTTAAATTAGAACCCAAGGAAAACAAAACGACCCCCTCCTTGGCGTTATCCAAAAAGTCCTGCAAATCACTTGGTAATTGTTTAGGTTTGCCAACGTGATAACCTCCTATTTCTTTCACTGCAGGTACTGTAGGTGCAGGGGTGTTTATACTAACATGCGAAGATGTTAGTATTAAACTGACGTTTAACGTAATCTCGCTTAAATTCGGAGTACCAGGTAAATGTTCTTGCATTATTTCATTGTGTTTCGGTATGACATATTGATGTATTAAATATTCACCCAATGTGTCATAGTATACATTCTTTATTCTCTCAATTAGACTCATATCAGAGCTTAATCTGGAGGCAATATTAGGAATGTATGCAGATGGTGTGGGGTTGCCAACAAAAAAATTACATAGGTATGTTGTAGGACCCGGTGTTAATAATATCACAGGTGCCTTGAAGTGATGACCTAATCCGATAAACGCATAAATCATGAAATTTTCTACGATTATGACATCAAATTTTTCCTGGCTTCTTATTAATTCCACTACGGGTTTAATCCCAAAGATTTTTTTTGTAAAGTCCAAACCCAAGTTAAGAACGAATTTGGTATGGTAATGAAAACTCATATAATGCATCTGGAAAAGTTCTTTTTTATGATCTAAAACCAACTTTTATGATGTTGGAAATATAATAATTATTACTAAACAATACCTGCAAATTCTTCAACGATTTCCTCTACAGAAACAACTTTTAAATTCTTGATGTCCTCTTTATGTCTATGAGGCGTAATAAAAGTTACTTCATGGCCTTTTTCTGCTAATTCTTTCATCAACGTAAAGCCCAATGTGTAATGACTATGGGTTGCCATAGGGAAAACACCCAGTATTTTAGAATTTTCCACATCTTCGCAAACGAGAATTAAAACGATTAAGCTTGCAAACAGGTGCCCTTTCATCGCACTTAACTAAATAAGTTATGTGAGGTGGATTTGCAATGCCACCACCAGCTAATATTTCAAGTATGTGTGTCAATAATTATAATTCAATAAATTACTTGATATGATTTTGACGTGTCATTGAAATTAACATTTTTTGTTTACTTTTTATATTATATGTATACAGGGTGTGTGAGACATGAAACACCCTTGGGTCGCTCACCGCTGTCGCTGTACCTGTTGCTTATACAGGGTGTCCCAGAACTCGCGCCACAGAGAAAAAGGGATCGTGCCGATGGCTAATTTAAAAATTAAAAATTTCTAGGTATTAGTGTAATCGAATGAGAGCTAAAAAGCGACAGCCAATACCGAGAGCTCTAGCCTAGTTTAAACGTAGGGCCTTTAAAAATTGCTAGGAGACGATAGAACATTTTTGTCTTAAAACTTTTAAAAATCTTTTGGCCAACTGTGTTTACTAAGTTGATAAAACGTTTCAAAAAGGACTGTCACACTTCAGGATGCCAATGTTTTAAAGAAAAATCAAACAACTAATAACAAAATCCAACTTAAGAAATAACATATATTTTGGTGTACTTTATAAACGACCCCTAATGCTGATAATAATAATAATAATACAAAATTCATATCTATTGATTTTTCTTGGGTCTTATAGCAGTATTTTTTGTACCAAACATACTAATAATATTCTTGACAATAAAATAAAAAACAACAAACAAAACTGTAGTAACTAATATTAAAATAATCGCAATATCCAACATATTTATTTAGTCCCATTTTAGTTTCAATGATGGTGATTTAAAATGACATATAAAGTATTCAATCCAATATACAGCTGTATCCATTATACAACAGAATAATTTTATAAAGTTACTACTGTGTTGTTTAGGAGTTTATTCACAGCAAAAGAAAATTGTTTCTTCGTTTAGTCCTTTGAAAGGTAGGTTAATGGGAAAACCATTATTTTCAGCAGATATTACGTTACACTCTTGATCCCAAAACATTGGTATTCCTAAAATAGGTACCCTCGTAGGTACCCCATAGTGTACTGACTCTATAACGCTAAGAAGACCTTCATGGGAGATGAAAAGTTGGATGTTTGGATGTGCTTAAAAATATTATTAGAAACCATAAAATAAGTAAATTGTTTATATACCTAGAACACTGTTTTGTGGTAACTAGTTCATAATCTTGATATTTTCAGGTATATTTGGTATGTCCTCCTCAAACTTCCACAACACTTTCTGTTTGATTATAAAAAACTTTTTTAATATGGCATTTTTCATGTAGTCTGGTAAATCAGAGCTCTTTAAATTAGAACACAAGGGAAACAAAATTACCCCCTCACTTGCACTTCAGGTTTGCCAAAGTGATAACCTCCTATTTCTTTGACTGCAGGTACTGTAGGTGCAGGGGTGTTTATACTAACATGCGATGACACATATCAGAGCTAAATCTGGAGGCAATATTGGGATTGTATGCAAATGGTGTAGGGTTACCAACAAAAAAATTGCACAGGTATGTTGTGGGACCCGGAGTTAATAATATTACAGGTGCCTTGAAATGATGACCTAATCCGATAATCGCGTAATTTATGAAATTTTCTATGATTATAACATCAAATTTTTTCTGGCTTCTTATTAATTCCACTAGGGGTTTAACCCCAAAGTTTTTTTTTGTAAAGTCATAATCTTGATATTTTCAGGTTTATTTGGTATGTCCTCCTCAAACTTCCACAACACTTTCTGTTTGATTATAAAAAACTTTTTTAATATGGCATTTTTCATGTAGTCTGGTAAATCAGAGCTCTTTAAATTAGAACACAAGGAAAACAAAATTACCCCCTCACTTGCACTTCAGGTTTGCCAAAGTGATAACCTCCTATTTCTTTGACTGCAGGTACTGTAGGTGCAGGGGTGTTTATACTAACATGCGATGACACATATCAGAGCTAAATCTGGAGGCAATATTGGGATTGTATGCAAATGGTGTAGGGTTACCAACAAAAAAATTACACAGGTATGTTGTGGGACCCGGAGTTAATAATATCACAGGTGCCTTGAAATGATGACCTAATCCGATAATCGCGTAATTTATGAAATTTTCTATGATTATAACATCAAATTTTTCCTGGCTTCTTATTAATTCCACTACGGGTTTAACCCCAAAGTTTTTTTTTGTAAAGTCCAAACCCAACTTAAGAGCGAATTTGGTATGGTAATGAAAACTCGTATAATGCCTCTGGAAAAGTTCTTTTTTATGATCTAAAACCAACTTTTATGAGGTTGGTTTTTTTCGTTAGGTATTTATACCCAATATAATAATTATTACCAAACAATACCTTCATCCTTTAACGATTTCCTCTATAGAAACAACATTTAAATTCTTGATGTCCTCTTTATGTCTTTCATCAACATAAAGCCTCATATGTAATGATTATGGGCTGCCATAGGAAAAACACCCAGTAGTTTAGAATATTTCACATTTTTTCAAACGAGAATTAAAACGATTAAGCTTGCAAACAGGTGCACTTTCATTGCGCTTAACTTAATAAGTTATGCGAGGTTGATAAGCAATGCCATAACCAGCAATATTTTAACGTGGCATTTAAATATAATTTTTATGTTTACTTTTTATGTTATTTGTACACAGAGTGTGTAAGCACACTTAAAACACCCTTGGGTCGGTAGATGGAGCCGATTGCCTTTCCCTCACAGTTAGTGGTCCCCACGAGTCTCGCATGGTCTTGTCATGTTTTCGAGACGAGACTCAAGACGATATTCGAACCGATATGAGACATTTATTGTTCTTGTCTCGAGTCTCGTGCGAGACTTTTAGCATCTCGTTGGTCTCACAGCTGTCGATGTACCTGTTGCTTATACAGGGTGTACCAGAACTCGCGCCACAGAAAAAAATCTAGGTGATAGTGTAATCGAATGAGAGCAAAAAATCGGCAGACCAAACCGAAAGCTCTTGCCTAGGCTAAAGGTAAGATCTTTAAAAATGATAGGAGCCGACTGTGTTTTTACCAAGTTGATAAAACCTTTCAAAAAGGACTGTCATACTTCAGGACGGCAATGTTTTAAAGTAAAAATCAAACAAGTGGTTCTGTACTCTAGAGCCAAAATTTGTATGAAGATCTTCTTGCTCTAGCAACCACTACAGAATTTCACTTTAGCGGGATAATCATTTAGCTGCAGGTGCTGCACTTGCTTAAAATAAAAAGGGTGTTGCCAATCGGCATAAAACTTCCCTTATGCTCTTCCTAATATTTGCATTCAAAATAGTTTCTTTATTTTCCGCTGTTCTAATGCGTTTAGGAGTACCTCCAATTTTGTTATGACGCGGTACACCTTGACCGGTCTCTCGTGTTCTAGATATAGTTCCAAGCATCACTTTACATTACGCCTCCCTAACATTACGCCCACACATTTTATTTTAAGGGTACATTCGCAAGTTTTTATTGCTATTACATAAAGAATGTCAAAAAAATGTAAACACAATATTTTTACTTCACCCCAATTATTTATTCGTGCTATCAGTCAGAGTTTTGAACACTAACCTTTTTATCCACCCTATAGGAAAAATCCAAAGGATTAAGATACGGTTATCTTGACGGCCACCCGACAGGTCCTTCAGAAAATGGCGTCTTATGACATATACAATTAAATCTGATCTATAACAGCAACCTAGCTTGAAAACATAACATCTGCAGTCATTTGTGTTCATCATGTATTATATTTTTGTGCTACAATGTTTTTTTGGGTAAATTTTAATATTTTTCATTCCGCATTGTTAAAAATACACTTTTCTGCTTTTTTTTATTTGCAATTTAAAAGAGCAATACTTGGGTTGACACTTTTCTCCGATCCCAGGTTGAAACAGATGTGTCCAAATAAAACCTTCCCTATTATTTCCATAAAATACGGTCAAAAATCTAATAGCCTAAAAGGACCGTTGAAAAAAATATTATGCTTTCTTTGCATTGATGCGACCGAAACAAACGGGCATAAAAAAACTATACAGTAGGCTAATGTAGCATGGGCAAATACAAATGAAAACTGAACGTTTTTGACACCACGCTTGCTACGTTGTATGGTCGCTTTGTGTTTAGACGGGAAAATAGAAATATTAAGAATGACGATTTTGGTTTCTAATTAAATTATTAATTCTGTAAGGAACGTTTTAAAATTGGAAGGACGATGTTACCTTCCCCCTAAATGTTTGGCGTACTTTATAGTCGACCTCTAATGATGATAATAATAATAATGCAAAAAACATATTTATTGATTTTTCTTAGCTCTAATAGCGGTATGTTTGCCACCAAACATACTAATAATATGCTTGATAATAAAATATAAAACAATAAACAAAACTATAGTAACTAATGTTAAAATAATCGCAATATCCAACATATTTATTTGGTACCATTTAAGCTTTAATGATGGCGATTTAAAATGATGGGCACCTTTATGACGTATAACGTATTCAATCCAATATACAGCTGTATCCATTGGAGTAAAAGGTTGATCGTGAAGAATTCTTTGTCTTGATTTAACATTTCTTGTGTATCTAAAACAATATTACCCAATATACATATAACCTTAAAAATATATTTAATAAAATTTACTCTGGGTTATTTAGGAGTTCATTCACAGCAGTAAAAAATGTTTCTTCGTTTAGTTCTTTTAGAGGTAGGTTAATGGCAAAACCGTTATTTTCAGCAGATTTTATGTTACACTCTTGATCCCAAAACACTGGTATTCCTAGAATAGGTACCCCATAGTGTACTGACTCTATAACACTAAGAAGACCTCCGTGGGAAATGAAAAGTTTGGTGTTTGAATGTGCTTAAACATATTATTAGAAGCCATAAAATAAATAAATTGATTAAATACCTAGAACACTGCTTTGTGGTAACCAATTCATAATCTTGACATTTTCAGGTTTATTTGGTATGTCCTCCTCAAACTTCAACAACACCTTCTGTTTGATTATAGAAAAAGTTTTTAATATAGCATTTTTCATGTGGTCTGGTAAATCAGAGCTCTTTAAATTCGAACCCAAGGAAAACAAAACGACCCCCTCCTTGGCGTTATCCAAAAACTCCTGCAAATCACTTGGTAATTGTTCAGGTTTTCCA